TGTTTTCTGTGGTTGACATAAAATAGCGAGCAAAAATCGGAATCTTTCCTGCTCTTAAATAAGCACCTATATGGATCCATTCTTTGGAGATCTTGGAGGAAGGAGTAAGCTCAAGGTATGAGTAATTTTCTGATGTCATGTCTTCACTGTATTTCAGTGGCATCAGGACTTTTCAAGGTTGCCTGTTCAACAAGACAGAGTGTCACTTGCAAAGAGGTTGAAGAAGAAAATCAAAACTGTCAATGTCATGCTGAGCTGGATTGGAAAGAAAGATGCCCAAGGGAGTAGTTATGTGAAGGTTGTGCAGCTAAAAGTGTTCTCACAACTTTCAGACCAAATAGTAGATCGAATAATTTCTCTTATTCAGTTTCATAGTTTTACTCTCATTTGATGAGAGCAAGGTGGAGTTTGACATAGATTTTCATTATGCATAGCTGTATAAATGAAGTGAGTAGCATACTCATCCACTGCAGTTGTATATAACTTTCTTCCTTTTTCAAAAATTTCCATTTGCATCATTTCTAGATATCCATAAATTATACTCCTTAAAATAATTGCTTACTGGATTCCACATGGGTAATGAGGATCAATCACATTTTGAATTTCTGGGTTTAATTAAAAAAGACACCCTCATCCCACAACTCTCCCTCCACCCCTAAAAGAAAGCAACCAAGAAACCTTTCTTCCCTCACTTCACTGTTTCATTTAATAGGAAAAGAAGCATTAAAAGTGAACAGAAAACTATTTCTATTTTCATCTTTCATCTTTCATCTTTGAAATGGAATTCCTTTCCATTCTCCATGGCATCCCACACTGCCATTAGGAAGAAATGGAAGAGAGACTGGGATTAAAGTTCCAGTTCTTCTAAGTGCAGACAGCTGAGCTCAGCTGAACTGAGCACACTAGGAAGTAGAGGATTCCAATTGTTCCCATGAGCTTCTGAAGAGCTTATCCTTACTATAAGTCGATACACAGCATACTTCCAGAATAGGCTGATGTTTTGTCACTTGGACATAAAAAGATGAACTGAGAAGGTTTTGATTAATTTTTATAAAGTGCTTGTAGATACTAGATGAATTTAAATCCTGGAAACCACTACAGATAAAGGACACCAAATAGTGATTTTAATGATATATCTTTTAAATGGCGGATGTGTCACTATGCTTCTTCTCAAGATCTTTGAAATGGATAAAGGATTTTTAAAGCAAATGAGCTTGTGTACTTAGTTACTTCCTAAATTAAGATTCATCAAAATGTCTAAAATACATCATCATCTAAATTAGCAAAACTAAATAATTTTGTACTGCTATAATAGCCTCTAAATACTTTGACATTTTATATCCAAAATGTAAAGGATATCTTTGGATATTTAAATGTACTTTGCACCCCTGAGATATTCTCATCATTTTTTTTTTTTTTTTTTTCTTTTACTAGTGGGTAAAAAATTATCTAGGCACCTAGTAAGATTTTCTGAAACAGAAGTGGGACTCATCTAGATCTCACTTAAAGTGAGCAACAGATAGGAAGTCAGGCTCTTCTTTTATTCTTCAAGTTATTTTTGCATAATTTTCCCAGAATCACCAAGGAAGTTGTGGAAGAACCTGTTTAATAAACTCTTACCTTGAATTTCTCACCTTAACCACAAGAAAATCCTTTATACATCCTCACAGGAGACAGAAATATTGTCCTACATTTTCTGTCCAGAATCAGTAAAGCATTGATCCTAAATTAAAACACGTTGGAAAGAAGTAAAATCCTGTGCAAAGCAATTATGCAAGACATATAAGAGTCTTAGAGAATTGAAGACTACATCTTTACTCCAAATATGGTTATGTAAAAGTAAAGTAATGTTATCTTGGCAAAACAAACTACAAAACAACAACAGCAAAACAACAACAAACCATGGTGTTTTTTAATTGTATATTTTTAAAAAGTTATAACTAATGAGATATTTTAATATATATTTTAATATTTTTTAATAAAGACATAACAAAACTTGACTTCCCCTTTTACAGTAACTACTTCCTTACTTGTGCATCAAACGGATATGGATGGTTTAACTTCAACATTTCCCCCATTTTGCTTAGCATCTTCACTCATTATAATCTTTCAGAAGATGAAATGTTTGACATCTCTCACAGAAAATACTGCAGTTATTTTGACGTTGCTATATTCAGCATCTCTCTTTTTACAGTCAAGCTGGAGGGGAAAATAGAAATAAGAACACATTGGCTTTTGTGTTTGTTGCTATGGCTAAACTGCATAGCAACAAGACTTAGGACACTTGTCTATATTCAAAAAATAAAAAGGAAAATTCAACCTACCACGTCTACTGCAAAACATATGTGCACAGAGCAAAGCACAGTATCCAAATAGTGACCTCACATTTTATTCAGACTTTTCTACAAGTGAGTTACACAGACTTTAACTTTTCAGGAAGTTAATTATGCAAAAGGCAGGTTTAGTATGATTAGTCACTGGAAAATGCTGCTTTATGTGAATTACACAACTATTTTTATGCAGAGAAAGGATGAAAGATAGAGAGACCATTGGTACGATACAGAAGTGGGAGAAATAGAACAGAAGATAGACTTCTACTGGAAGTTCAAATTCCTAGTTGGTTTTCATGTATCTGACAAGTGATGTGACTTTCCAGAGCATTTCATAGAACATGAACCTGATCAAGGTGCATTTTTTTGTTCTGTTTATTTGTTTCATATTACTTCCAGCAGTTAATTTTGTGTGTGTGTGTGTGTGTGTGTGGTTTATATATTTGTTAGTTTTGCCAGACCTTTAAGGGCTTTTCCACAGTTTACTGTTCTTCATCCTGAATAAATATTTTACTGAGCTCCTATAACAGGTTTAGTCAGAACAGATATAGAAATAATGAGAGGAAGTAAGGCAATAAATATTAAAGCACATTTCACCTCTTTTAATTCACTGCTTTGAAAGAAATGAAGATTAGAACCAGCTTAGGGGGAAAAAAAAAAAAAAAACAAAAAAAGTATCTAACTAAACTGCTATTCATATCTCCAATACAAAATGTTACTATCCCATGGTTTAATAAGACAAATTGTTTACTCCAGATTAATCCAGTTATAGGACACTTGAACTGCAGACTATAATTAAGCATTGTTTTAGCCTTTTGCTGCTAGATTTCAGCTACTCCAGTACATTTTGTTTCAACTCTCCGGGACATTTTTACTCTCATATGTCTCAATCATTGTAACAAAAGTGAGAGTTCAGCTTCCAAAGTAGACTTTGTACTTTAAGAATATCTCCGCCTCCTCCTTGATTATGTACTTAACTACTTTTTCTCAACTAAAACTGTTATATAGAATTTAATCTATTGTACTCATGTGGACAGATGTAAATGGAAACAAGGAGAAAAAAAATAACCCATGCTGAGGGACATGTACATTTCCAAAAGACTGAGCAGGAGGTATGTAGACAAATCCTATTATTGGGTAATGAGATTTGTGTGTGTAGCCGGACACTATTATGAAAATGTAGCTCTTTTTCAAAACAAAGTGAAAGAAGGGGGCAATCTTTTCAGCTGGGGTCATAATCTGCTTCCAGTAAGAATGTAATAAGTTCCACTAAAATCCACCTTATTAGTTTCCAAAAGTAGCTGAAAGAAAGAAATAGCTTTTACTTTCACAGAAATTTCAGAAGACTTTCAGCCCGATCACAATCTCATTGAAATTAACAGGAATTTTGCCACTAGGACCTTGCATCAAGACTATTAATTACTAATCTGATAAAATTCTTGGTGTCAAGAAGTTTGAATTCCTTACAATAGTGTTCTACAAAGTGAAAGAATTTATATAAAATTAGGTATGCTATGAATAAGAAATTCAACAATTACATCATTGGTAGATTTAGAAAAAAATACCACCTATGCCACACATTTTAAAATCAGAAATGAAGATTCTGGTAGTCATTTAAAATCATAAGATTTAATATAATAGTCTCCATTATTTTGCTACTGGATGACTATCTGCATATTTTACAACTACAGAAATGAATACCTTCATTCTGTAAATTGATCATGAGTTCTTATTAAGTCCAGATGTAACTTCCATCTTCAAAAATCATGTGAAAGATTAAACAGTCACATAACACATATGGCGTAGGCATTGTTTGGATATTTTGTTATATAAGGTTTGTCCGTTTTTCAGTAAATTTTGCAAGCAAACGTTTTCATGTGCAAATTGTTTAAGAAAGAGATAGGATATAGAAAAAGTGACAAAATCTTTCTACAGTGCCTGGTGTTTCCTCCCACCAGCTGAGGAGGAGGTAGGCCTTGCTGTGAAAGAGGTGGCTCTACCTGTACTTTGCTTTTGTGGGATATATTGGGTATCTACTACTTTCCTGTTTCAATCAAGTCTACCATTTATGTGATATGATCTCCAAACCTCTCTCAATGTGTATTTCTGGACTGCATGCATGTATTATGAAGAAGTATAATTCTGTACACGAAGGAAAACAAATGCAATAGCTCTCAGATAAGTTCTGAAAGATGAGAACTCTGACATGATGTCAGTTACAGTATGACCTTCTTTCTGATCTGTTTTTCATTGCTGTGAGTCAGACTGAATTTCTTTCCTATTTAAGGGTGACATCATTGTAAAATCTATCAGAGGAAAGATCAGAATGAGGCTCCATGTCTCTAGGAGAAAATAGAGATTGCACAAAATAACAATTTAAAATGAAAGTGTGGCTGAAATACTGCTTCCGTACAGACAGGGTTGATATACTGAAAATGTATGACAGGAGTGGAGTCCCACTGTTGTCATGGAGACTGAAAAAAAATATATATATATATATATTAACAACTTCCCTTAAGAAAATAATTAAAAAACACTGTTTGGAATCACACCCACCATCTTCTGGAAAAGTACTGCCTAATATACATTTCTCTGATTCTTATTTTATACCTTGATTAAATAAAAAACAACTTGCATATAAAAAAAAAAAATATCTAAACGTATGGCTTTATTTCGACAGAATCCATTTTAACTATAAATAATTGAAAAATCCAATGTACCATTGTAAACACATACACAGCCAGCAAGCTGTAAGTTTCACAAAAGCATTCAGGAATTACAGAGTTCAGCAGCTACTTCATACTGGGGAATACACAACCAAGAATCTGGCCCAATATGCTGTACACAGAGTTTGAGGGGATTTGAGGGAATCAGGAAGAAATTTCCAGCAAATTATTTTCTGCCTGAGGTGGCACCAAAACTAGACAGCTCAAAGTTTAAAGAAAAGGATGCACTTTTCCAGTTCTTCAGTTCTTGAAAATGTCAGCTTCTCAACTTCGGCAATTTTGAATCGTAGCATGGAATTGTCACCTGCCAAGTGAAGTCTGTGCTGTACTTCAGCAGAGGTCATACCTCTGAGTCACAGCTAGAGGAGATGGTTTCTCTTTCCCTTTCCCTCATATGTAGGAGATGATTAGTAAATATTCACCTAGGAATAAGAAGATCAGCTTATTTAATAAAATATATAAATGATACTAAGGTCATCTAGAAGAAGAAAGTCGGTTTGGGAGTTTAGGGAGATCTTGGAGGATTTTTTCTCTCCATCAAGACATGTTAACCAATAACTCCTCAGTGTAAAGTGGGTAATCCTAGGCACAAATGTAGGCTGTACACTTTTTCAGAGAAAGCATTAATCCACTCAAGAGTGTTACATGTCACTATACTTTTCACAAAGTTATAGTTTCATCTTTTAACAGGGTGTAAGTAAAATGAATTAGCGGAAATCTCATAATTTATGTCTTGCCCAACCAATCTTTGTCTTTACACAAATCTCTATTTTGGACTCCCTAGCAGCATTTTAGAGACTTTCTGATAGTAATAGTCTTTTGTCATCATCTATTCTGAAAATGGACATTCATGTGAATGTGTACCTTCATAAAGTAGTAAGAACCAAATGCAGGTATATTAGGGATTAAAAAATATGGATTGATATTCATACAGAATAAAACTTTAGTTTTGCTTCTGCAGCTTTTTAATGTCAAAACAAAAGCTCCTTCAAGTAGATATATAGTCTGTTTTGCGTTTTGTATATTGACATTGAGACTAAAATATAGCATGCATTTCACTAAAGTCTTAATGAAAGAAAATACTAAATGGAATACTGCTGTTTGAAACCAAATCAAAGGCAAAACTGCTAGATTTTCCTAGCTATAATTACTCAAAATTTAGTGAAGCATAAAAGTAAGATCAAAACTGCTGATTCAATATATACCTTTTTTGATATATCAAGTAGTATATTATTTGTAGCTATTGGTTTAAACTAAACTTAAATTGTTCTTTATTGTATTTCATAGCTGAGACTTTAACTTCCCGTAGACAAAGCTATTTTTTAAGTTACAGATATTGTTATCACAGTGGAAGGTCACTCGAAATCTGTTCTTTGGTCTAAATGATGCTTAAAATCAATAGTAGTTCCTTAATAGTTTCTCAACCTTCTTGGCTTAGTGGATAAACAGAGGCCTCATTCAATACAACATTGAATTTTCTGTCTCAAAGTCACCTTTCAAAGAAAAAGAAACATATATATATATTTTTTCTTATGATTCCATTTTTGAATAGTGTTGTAATTCAATTATATCACTTTAACAGTTTCTGCCAGAAGGACAAGAGGTGATACTCTTACTGTTCAAATCTTTTTAGAAGGAATTCGACCATTTAGCTCTGCATAGATGTATGATGCTATGCAAATATCTGAGCACAGTGAATCATTAAATAAAGAGGCAAAGTACTGCTCTCTTACAGCTAGTGTAAGAGAGCAGTACTTGTGAAGTGAACGGAGTTAAGCTTGCCTTTTTTGACAAAATATTTTGCCTGAGGATTTTTAGCATCCAAAGTGTAAAGAGCCAGCATGCTATCATTCTGCCTGTGCTGTACAATTTTGCTACAGAACAAAAGATCTTTTTCATTAGCAACAAGCCCACGAAAAAGAGAAGCAGTGAATCTTTTTAGCTATCAGTGACAAAACATTAGCATATCATTAAGCATACAACTGGAGAAATCCCCAAATTATAATTTCTCAACTGGTATGGATTCAGTCACCATTTGGATAACTGACATCATACTTTAAATCATGGAAGTTAGATATTCTCAAATGGATAGATATACAAATTTAACTGATCCAAATTTTGTTGATTCATTTCAAAGTATATGCATAATTTCAATAATTGCACACACAAATGACACATTTGCTTGTACAAGGCCAGCCATTTCTTTACAGATGGTAAAATGCTGGCTGAATTAGAATTGATATATTGCTTTTAGGTAGCCAATTGGATGCCCACTTAACTTGTCAGTGAACCCCAGTGCAGCAGCCTCTTGATGATGCAGGAAAACCTCATCATCTACTCTCATAAGAAGTTGTTTAAGTATGTTCTTAAATTCTGCTGAGTAAATATGTCCTTAAATATTATCTGGAGAAGGGATATTTATCTGAATTTGAACCTATATGTATAGCTTCAGACTTAGCCTGAATGACAATTATTTTGTTATTTAAAATCTACAGTGCAGTAACAGACAACTTAAAATTAGAAAAAGGAGATGATCAAAAATGAACCATTTCATGTCTGTAGGTATAATTCTGCTGATATAATTGAAGTAGATAAGATGTACAGAACTGACACTCTGAAAACTAAAATAAAATGATTTAGCAGAAACAAAATAAAGCAAAACAAAACAAAACACGTAAGCCAGAGTTTCTGTTGGTTAATTCACCTTTGTTCAAGACTCCAGATCATATCATAGACCATTAGTAGGGCATTAGTAAAGCATCCTACTTCAGTTGAAGTAGGATGAGTTCTAGAAAAAAATAATTCAACACATTTTTAGGAAAGTTAAAAGAACAGAAGGTGAAAATTGAACAGATTTCATATCAGTTTTTGCCCTTTGACACTCTTTGACACTTACTTCTGTGTAACATCAAATTCAATGGCATTTCACAGTTAAAAGAACTCAGAATTAGATCCAACATGTGCCTTCTTACTAAACATATCCTTTGCCTTTTAGGGCTTAATCAGTCTGTTTAATAAAAAAAGGTGAAAAAAAGTCATAAGACTTTTCTATTGCCTATTGCAACTGCATAAAGGTGCAAAGCTACATAGATGGATAAAATCCTTTAGCAACAGCAAGAGCATTTATTACCAATGAAAGATATAATTCATAGGGATGCCACAATCTTTGCTAAATCCAGAAAGAAACATCCCCTCCTCACCTTTTACATTTACTTTTCTCCTCCTTCCTTTATGTTTTTATTATTTCAATTTGCAAGAATTGTACCTGTATCTGTGAGAAGGTTTGTGTGAAAGATGGTTTGTGTAAAAGATGTGTTTGTTTGTGTGAAAGATGTTATGTTGCACCATATTTTCATTATATTGTACTATCTATACATATGAATCTACTTTCTGTAAGCATGAAAACTGGTAAAGCCAGCTATAATAAAAGCTATCACAGATAAAACCTGTCAGATACAGAACCTGTATTGACTGCTGGCTTATTCCATTTTCTTCAGTGCTGGATGAAGTTGTACTCTTTCATCTTCCAGAATGGACAAAAGTTTTTCATGTTCTATCATGACTCTTCTTGACTTCCTACATCAGTTCAGTCAAATTTTCTCTCTGTCACTCAACAAAGTAAATAGATTTAGTATAGGTGTAAAAGGAACAGAATATACTTCATTTATTCCAACCCTGCTGTGAAAATATTAATGTGTTTACTTAAAAGCACAAGTCTGACAACACAGTAAATCAACCCCATGCTGTTTCAGTGTCAAAAGCAAGAATTACTGAAAGTGTTATTAAATTATCATAGAAATGGTAAATTAAATTTAAACAATAAATGATGAACAGATTAGAAGGGATTTGAGTACAGTTCGCTCTATTTGTTTTGTATCTCTGTAAATGTCAAAATTGAGAAGTTAATTGCAGAAGTCTAAAAAATATTAGTTATTGCATTTTTAACAAGCAGATTTTCTTCTTTTTTTTTTTTTTTTATTTTCTTCCTTTCTCAGGCTATAATGTATTCTTTGTGTTGTGTTCTTTTGTGTTTTTTTTTTTTTTTTTGATGTTGTTGTTTTTTGTGCTTTTTGTTGTGTTTGTTTGTTTGTTTGTTTGTTTCCAGCAAGGCAAACATACGTGCATACATACATTCAGACTATTTCCTTACTGTTTTGACAGTCCTAACAAGTTAGAGTTTGAGGATGATGGTCAAGTCAAAGTGGAGAAAGTCATACTTCTTTTATTACCTGTTCAGTGATCTAAATGAAATATTATTTTCTGTAAAACCATTAGTTTATTGCTTTTAGCACACTGTTTCTGACTGGTGCCTTCTAACTAAAAGTAAGGAAAAAGGAAGCACACAACCATGTGGCTATTTTATAGGAAAATACTAAGTTATTTTTAAGTTTGCACATTGCATAATGTTTGATGCTGTAATTGCTTATTGAATTTTTCAAAAGTAAATCCAAGAGGCAAACTGTCTGTAAACTTTGCAGGAATGGGTTTAATTTTCCTATGAAGAAATATATATATATATATGTAATCTCATAAAGAACTTTTAAAATCCTCCAAAGATTTAACTTTTTGTATATTATGCCCCAATTCACACGGAAATGTTAACAACACTGAAGATATATAAAATGCTTTTGAAAGATTCATGTAGATGTTCATTACTTTATAAGAGCAGTATCTTCTTTTAATTGAGTTGTGCTTTCAATCATATTTTGTAACGTAGGTTCAATAGGACAACATAAGGTACAATACAGAATGTTTAGGCTAAGTTCCCAAAGGAAATGCAGCTACTGAATGTAATAAGGGTTAAAAGATGAGGAAACTGAAACAGTTGGTTCCACAGGAAGTCCTGCCTTCTGATGAGTTAGTCCTTTAGGTTCAGGCTAGAATAATAGGATTACAATTCCGTAAAGCTTTGGAAGAGGACACTGAACACAGGACAAGAGTGTTCTTGAACATATAATGAGGAATTGTGCTGTTTCATATCCCCAAATCCATTCACATATAAAAAGCTCATTTGTTTCTCCCTTACATGTTCTGCTAATTTTAGAGCTAATTTAAAACTACCACGAGTAAGAGCATCATGAATCAGGATTGCTGAGTATTTGGAGGGGTTACCCTTCACTCATCCACACATTATATATATATATATAAAATGAGGGGGTTTTGTAATGAGAAAATGCTGACAACTTTTACATTCCTAGGAGCCTTGCGGTTCTTAGGCAGTCAGAGGCTGATCCAGATCTAGAGTTACTTGATGTGTTTTACTAACATGCATATATACACACACATATACACGTAGGTTGCTCCAAAAGTTATACCTGGTATTTATCTCTATGGAAACTACAAACAGGTACAAAGAAACAATAACACCGTTGGATAGAGCAAATTCTCACCTGCAAAATGCTACTTTTCAACATAGTCACCACAGTAACAAAGTTTAACAGAATATTTGGTGCTAAAATTCAGCCTCTACTGCCATACCACCGATACCTGTCTCTGAAATTGTGGGCCAACATAAAAAAAATGAAGGCATTACTTTTGGAGCAGCATTTCTACATATACCTTGTATAAATATATCTATAATAGTAAAAGCACTTTATATGAGGTGATGTGGTTTTAGTAGAAACAGTTAGATTTATTTTCTTTTCAGTTCCCTGGATTTGAATGGCGGAATTGATAGGTAGGTGTTAAAATTTAACTTTGATAGATAACTTGATGCAAAGATATCAAAAAAAGCATTCACCATAGAATTTCTCAGTAGTTAACTAGATTAACTGTCTAGCAGAAAAACAAAGTAACAATAAATAAATAAATATTGTTTAAACTTCCTTCTCCGTATCAGGAATGGAATGAATTATAAGAAAAAAATGTTAATAGCGTGGGTGAGGTCTGTACCTAACAGTGACATGGGACCCATGTTATGCTTTCTTTGTTATACGCATTAGTTTTCAAACAGAACACTGGAAAGGAATTCAGGTAATACATGAATATCAATGCAAACTCAGACAAAAGTTACATATAACTCAGTATTATTTTACCTATTCATAGTAAATGAGAAGTGAAAAATATATAACCAGGGAAAATACTATGATGCCATCTCTTCATGTTCTCAAGCTGTTCAGCTACTTAGACAACATACAGCCTCTGTGGTTTTGATCATCTTCTTCATAAATATATCACCTGAAACTATACAAACTTTTTATCTTAAGAATCCAGTCAAATTATATATTTTAGATACCATATTTTTCATGCAGCATAACTTTAGATATGCTAAAATTATATCGGTATGTGGAAACCTAGTAAGCAAATAATTGGAGAACTTACTCTTTGTCTAAAACTAGAAGTTAGGCAGTGGTAATAAAAGTTCCCAAATACTAGAATTTTATCAGAGTTAAGGAGTTAAAATGGTCACTAGAATGGTTTTGGCCTAAACCAGCACTAAACTCAAGCAGTGCTCAGACACAATCAAAGAATTATGAGGTCATAGAAACCCTTGACAGCAGGCAGTTTAAGAAACGGATTTTAATAGTAAGGATAGGAATTATGCCATGCCAATTAGACAGTCCTAAACACATTCAAGTCAGATGTATTTCAAAGAAAACAAGAGACTTTTTAGTGAATGCAAATTATTTAAGTCATTCTCAGCATATTGTGGAAATGCAATGAAAATATTGATAATACGGATAATGTAGGATAAAAGAAAATTACAGGAATGTTGACATGACAATGATTATGCCAAAAAAAAAAAATCTCTGGAAAGAGGATATTTCTCCATTCAATTAACAGCTTGTGACAGTGAATTCTCATCTCACTTGGGTGCCTAATGGACAGTTTAGAATGTACAGTCTTTGGATACATTTTTGAAGAATTTTCTCAGCCAGGGTGTGTTCGTGCTATTGATCCTCTGTCTATGAAAATTCAGGAAGGGAACACAAGAAATGAGGGTTATATTACTACAAGCATTGACTGAACTAAAACTTTCATTTCTAGCTGCACCAAAACAAGTATTTTTACAGATCAGGTTTTGAAATCCCTGTGATAAGCCTAGTGAGTGTATAGATTCTGCAGTATCCTGTGGAGAAATACTATGTGCAGTTAGCTACAGCAAAATGACCTGCATGTAAGTGCTGACTTGATATAAACAGGAAATGGCTAAAAACTACTTGACAAAAGGAGATGGTCTGGCAGTGGTTTTCCTAGTACAGCACACTAAGGTGTAAAACGAGATATAGGAGCAGTTTCACTGTGCACAGCAAAAGAGAACAGGACTGAGAAAATAAAATAATTCAATTCTTAACAAAGGCTGAAGGACAAACCTGTGCAAGGTGGAGAGTAATTATGTGATCTGAGACCTGGAGATGTTTGCAGCTTCACCATGAAAAGCAATGCAAACTTTCAAATGCCAATACATAAACGATCAACAAATAAATGTTTATGTTATGTATCTATGGGTATCTTTTCAAGGAGATCTCTCCAAACAGTCTAACAAAGGGAAACAAATATCATATTCATGATTAGCCTTGGCTCAGTATCTCAAGAAAACAAAACAAACCACCACTAACTTCAGTAGTATGTTCAGCGTTGAAATTTTTAAGGTGATCTGAAGGGCACGGGGAAATGTATAGATGAATGGATATGTTTCATTACTGTGAAAGTTCCTTTTTCTGTTATTAGTTTCAATCATTTATTTTTTTTCAATAACTAATTTCACCGTGTAGTCTTTGCTGACAAAACAACAGTAGCTTCCAAGAAAAGTTAGTATTATCAAAATGACATTACAAGAGAGAAAGGAGTGTCTGAAATTTAGTATAAAATAAAATAGTATTTGTAGGTTCTGAGATTGTTTTCTGAACAATTTGTAAAAGAATACTTACTCGTACTCCACTGTTTACTGTTCCATGTGCTATTGCCAAATTCATTATCTTATTGAAGGCTGAAGTCAACATTGCATGTACTCAATTCTGAATGCTAAGCATCATAGATTCAGTCAGTTCTAGGAGAGAAGACCACCTGGAAGGTTGGAGTGCTCTAACAGCACACCCGAAGAGTTACAGACGGGTATTTTACAAACTAACAAACAAAAACACACTGAAATGAGTCAGTGGAAAAGTTTAATTTTCCACATGGAAGCTACTCCATGGATCTGAATTTTAACAATATTTGAAAACACTGTCAGTCACATATGAATTCCCACAGTCCTACAAGCATCTTCAGTCTGTATAATGATCAGATAGCCAAATTTTGTTTTCTTTGTCTGCCCAAAACAAGAAATATCCATAAAACAAGTCAGTGAGTGACCATTTACCGCAAACATAAAAGCAATGCTCCCGTTGACTTGAATGGTATTGAAAACACACTTATATAAAAAGGGCATGCTTCTCTATCTCTGTGGTGCACAACAAGCTGTTTTTACATACAAGCATGTTTTTACATACAACTCCTATTAATATCTCCTTTATTTAGTTAGGTGTGAGTATTTCTTCAGGTCACCAACAACGCTACAAGCAGCATCATAAGCAGCAGAAAGCCACTCCACCTCTTTCTTGAGTGCACCCTTAGCAAGTCTGTGGATGACACCAAGCTGTGTGGTGCAGTTGACACCACTGAGAGACAGGATGCCATCCAGAGAGACCTAGACAGGCATAAGCACTGGGCTCAGGTGAACCTCATGAGGTTCAGGAAATCCAAGTGCAAGGTCATGCACTGGGTAGAGACAACCTTCACTACCAATACAATCTGAAGGATGAAATGATTGAGCACAACCCTGTGAAAAGGACCTGAGGATACTGTGAGATGGAAAGCTGGACACGAGCTAGCAATGTGCCCTTGCAGCCCAGAAAGCCAGCCATATCCTGGTCTGCATCGAAAGAAATGTAGTCAGCAGATCGAGGGAGGTAATCCTGCCCCTCTATTCTGCTCTGGTGAGACTTCATCTGGAGTACTATGTCCAGATGTGGAGTTCTCAGCACAGGAGAGACATAGACCTGTTGGAGCATGTCCAGAGGAGGTCCATATAGGTGTTCCTATGAATGGAACTGCTCCCTGAGGAGGATGGGATGAGAGTGCTGGGGCTGTTCATCTTGGAGAAGAGAAGGCTTCAGAGAGGCTCATAGCGGCGCTCAGTAACTAACTGAAGGAGGGCTATAAGAAGGAAAGGACAGACGCTTTAATAACGTCTGCTGTGAATGCACAAGGAGAAATGGTTTCAAATGAATGAAGATTTAAATTGGATATGAGGAAAAAGTTTTTTACAATAAGGGTAGTGAAGCACTACAAAGGGTTGCTCAGAGAGGTGGTGGAAGCCCTGTCTTTGGAAGACATTCAAGGCCAGTCTGGATCAGGCTCTGATCAACTTGCAGATGTCCCTGTTCATTGCTGGGGAGCTGGGCTGGATGACCTTTAAGAGTTCCTTCCAGATCAAATGATTCTATGATTCTTATCTCTTCAAGTGTGATACTAATACCAAAGGTTTACTTGCATAACAGTGGATTAATGTAAAATGGAATATTCTTCTTTAGTTAACTGAAAAAATAAGAAGTACAAGACAGTGTATGAGGAAAAAAAAAGGACCAGTAACTTGAGCTTAAAACATACACTTAAGGGCAAATGAGGATAAGCTAAGCTGAATTTACTTTTTAACAGATTCATCATTGGCATTTTAATTCATATGAAATCATTCATATATCTACCTAAAAAACTTCCACTTGGAATTTATCAGCCTCACTTCTGTTCTGGGAAAGATTACAGAGCAGATCCTCCTGTAAGCTATGCTAAGGCATATGGAAGACAGGGAGGTGATATGGGAAAGCCAGAATTGCTTCACCAAGGGCAAACCTGCTTGACCTTGTAGCTTTCTATGATGGCATAACAGCATCAATGAATAAAGGAAGAGCCACTGGTGTCAGCTATCTTGACTTCAATAAGGTATTTGACATGGACCTTTAGTGGTCCTTTCCAACTCTGAGAATTCTATGATTCTTTGATGCTGTGAATATGTCACCCTTGTACAGAGAGACTGATCTATATTCATCTAGTTCAAGTTTAGATGCCTAGTTCAGTTGCCAAAGTTGGATGTCTAACCTCAAGATTTCTGAAGTTAATGGAGAGAGAGTGAAAGAGAGAGGCATAGACTTCCAAAACACGGTTCAGACAATCTGAGTTATAAAATAAGAATGAAATGCCCACTTCTCTCCCTCAGGTATCTTTGTATCCATCATTAGGGTAACCTATAACATCTAACATATATATCTTGAATGCCCCAAATTAAGTGAAGTGAGTCTTGGTTCCGAAACAATTGATCATACTGAGTAATTCTATAAGTAAAAAAATAAGATGCTAGAAGAATGTTTGACTTTTTCAAATTCACACTTAGAGTGTATGTGTGTGAGAATAAAAGAGTGAATTTCAGTTGCTGACCTTGCCTAGTATTTCATTTATCGATCAGTACTTTCTCCCTGGGATGACTTTACAGACAATTAGCTGGCCATTTTGGTCACAGAGAGAGATACCTAACTGTCAGAAAAAATGAAATTCAAATCATTATGTTGGTGTTAAGTAATAGGGAAGTTATGAAGTTGGTGAGAAATTCAGCACCCTTATGAGATATTCTATTTTCTCCTGTTCAGCTAAGATTCTAAAATGAATGTGTGACTTGTTTTATTTCAGAAAATAGTTGGTTGTGAATATTTAAATGTCAGCTATCTTTACATATAGTAAAGGATAAATGATTTTTTCTGTTTCTTGTCTTGTCTTGTACTTGATTTTGTCATGTTGACAGCATGGCACTTCTGAAATAAACATGCAATGAGTTGTGTCTTGTTATACGTGTATATCTAATGTTAAAAAGCAGAGTCAGTGCCTTTGAAATGGCATCAACTGCTGGGCTACTAATAAGCAGCAACAAATTTGCCTTGTTGGAAAGTTTTGCAGAACAGTATGTACCACTGAGGGATAATATTTGAAATATCTACTACTTTGCTAAAGGGAGAGAGTCACAAGAGGTGTAAATCAACATAAATTTACTCAGAAACCAGTAATTCCCACTTACACCGCGACAATGAAAAACCATTAAAAGCAATGCAACGTTTTGAAATGTAGATGTAACTGCATTTAGTACTGAAGAGGTGTTTGAATAGTTCAAAAGTAAAAGCATACTTTTTACATTTCTTTAATCAGAGACATTTTGAGAGATTTTATAAACATATATCATAAGAAAGGGTAATCTCGTCCTCTGCTTTTGTTCTATAGTTTTAAGGAGCATGGAATATGATAATCAAACAGCCTATATGAAATGTCATTCATGTACAATGGTTCAATTGTTATTGAAATTATCTTTTGAGAGTTACTACCTTGCTTCTGCCTATCAAGAGAGCTGTGGGGAAGAAATCTTTCTACCATAACTATTAATTTTGCCCAGATATAAGGAATTTGATTTTAAAAGCAAAATGATGG